CTCGTCCAGTGGATTCCTGTCGTGAGGAAACCCTTCAAAAGGCCTGGCAAACATCCACAGCTCAGCTTCCAGGCGAGCAGGCTGGATGGCTGCCCCGTGGCCGGCCGGACCAAGCAAGTGCTTCTCATGGCTGCAAGCCCATGTCAACTGGCGGCGGGGGGGGGGGGGAGAGAGAATCGGTGTCCCCTCATCGCCCTGTTTGCAGGGCACACCCAAGTCCACTGTAAACGGCAAAAGTACACAGCGCCCGGGGGGGGGCAGGAGCTTTTCTTGGAACAAAGCATAAGAGTTAGGCCTCTAGAGGCCGGGGTGGGGGCAAGCAGGGACTGCCCACGCTCCAAGCGTGTGCTCCTCCGGGGAGCAAAGGCCCAGGGAGAGCCACGTGTGTTTAGCTGAGGGCCACCCAAACGGACCAGTATGGAACTGGACTGGGGTTACTCACTGGGCCTTCTTACGTTGCGCTAATGGGGACAGCAAGCAAACACCGCCACTCTGACTCTTCCTTCCCAGTTATTTATGATCCTCGTACCCAGTCTCTCTCCCAGCCGCGGAAAAGAACTCACCTAAAAACAGACACAGCTAAAAAGCGATCAAGTCATGCCTTTGATGCAGCAAACAGATTACCGACCGCCATTTTTAATTAACTACACTAACGAAAATCCACGACAGGGGAGGAAACATACTTGACCATCACCACGCCTTCTTCAACAGTCAGTCAGTCACCAAACACCCGTCCTGACAGAAAGGTCTTTACTGGCTGGCAAAATTATAGAAAGAACAGAGCCAGCCTGGCTCCTGTGGGAGGGAGTTCCACAGCCTACGGGTAGCCACTAAAAAGCCCTCTCCTGGGTTTCCACCACGTGAACGGGCTCCCCTCCTGTCGGTCCCAGCTGCCGGCACAAGGCCCCCCCCCCGCATGCCCCTTGCTCAGGTTCTACCCACCTTTTCTCCTTCTGGCGATCAGGGGAACGGCTGACATTCTCACAGCCATTTAAACAATATTAATGTTTCCAAACACTTCATTTTCACTTGTTTTTCTGCTCTGTGCCAGGATGTTTTGCCAGCAGCCCCGAGCGTCCTTTTCTCAGTGAAAACAGCCGGGGTCACGCACAGCAAATCCCCTGTGGGTCAAACAGCCTGACCTGGGACAGAGTCGGTGAAGCGTCAACCCGTTAAGGGCAGTGACCCTTTTCCTCCCCACCGCTAAAATTTTCACTCTGCACCCTGCCACAGGCACGTGGGATTTCAAAAGAGGAAATGTGTCAGAAATTAGGAGACGGGGAAGGAAGAGGCAAGGGCACCAAACCCCTCTGGACCACGAGACTCCAAGACGGCAAAAATTCTGAATACCAAAAGACCGGAACCCCTCGTCACGAGGAAACACTGCGACTCAAGAGGGACCTGACCGGAACATAGGTCTAAATTTAGGCACACGTGGACGGGGCGTGGTTTTTGAGCCCTCTCCTGCTAGAGTGGGACTCAGCCTGACGGGTGGGTGCAGCACCCGGCACAACTTAAAAGGGACATGCCGTCTTGACACTACAAACAGAGAACCAGTGGAATTCACTGCCACAAGATGCAACACTAGGTTTAGAAGCCGTTCAAGCAGACTTGATGCCAGTCAGGATTATCAAGGGCTGCTATCAATGATGGCCATACGTCTGTCTTCCATCCATGGGAACCACAGGCCACTACAGAGTGTTTTTGTGTCCACCAAAACAAGAGGAACACGGTGCTCACCCAAATAAAACAACCCATGTACACTGGCTAAATATAAATTCTTCACAATCACTATAGCTTCTTGCAAGACCATATCAATTTAAATATTCATTCCTTACAGAGTCCATTAACGTCCAACCATTTCATCCTTGTGAAGCTGAGAGTAGACCTTTGGTCTAGATGGGTGTGGTATAAATCTAATAAAATAAATAAATAAATATTGCTCAAATCTCTGTGGTTCACAATCTGGAAGGCTTGGATCAGGAGGACGTTGTTCCTTTATACCAGAATGTCCTTCGGAGGTCCTTGCATGAAAACCACGTTCCACTTTCTTTCTTTCTTTCTTTCTCAAAGCTGCTGCGGTTGGATGGGTGGGGTCTTTACTCGGAAAAAACGACCATTCACACTCTTTTGTCTTCCGGGAAGCCCCTGTGGTTGTGAATGGACTGAATATTTAAATTGATCTGGTCTTGTAAGAATAGAGAGGTTTAGTGAAGAACTTGTATTTAGCCAGTTTACAGGGGTTGCTTTATTTGGGGGTGCGCCGTGCGTCTTTGGCAAGGGAACCACCACCACCCCCACCACCCCTGCAAGGGAGGCCGGCTTGGCTAGGGGACTCTCGCTGCCTTGGCCGCAGAGTCCAGCACCAGCAGGCAGAGACACACACACCCCCTTATTTTTTTCAACTTGCTTCCCTTCTGGCTGCTGTCAAAGGCCACCGGGAGCCCCCCCCCGCCCGGCCGGCTTGGCTAGGGGACTCTCGCTGCCTTGGCCGCAGAGTCCAGCACCAGCAGGCAGAGACACACACACCCCCTTATTTTTTTCAACTTGCTTCCCTTCTGGCTGCTGTCAAAGGCCACCGGGAGCCCCCCCCCGCCCAGCCCCCTCCCACAAGACCCTCAGGGGGCCCCGGTGATGGCTTCAAGCAGGGGCAGCCCTT